CATTCGGATTTAGCCGCACGTCTCTCAAGACGGCTAAACCCGAATGATTCTAGTTCTAGGTCTTGTGTTAGTTCTAGTATTGGATTAGCAGTATCACTAGAACTAACATAAGATCTAGAATTAGAATCATTCGGGTTTAGCCATCTTGAGAGGCGAATGGCTAAACCCAAATGATTCTAGTTCTAGATCTAGTGTTAGTTCTAGTGATAGTGGTAGTGTAAAACTAAAACTAACACTAGACCTAGAACTAGACTCATTTGGGTTTAGCCGTCTTTAAAGACGTGCGGCTAAACCCAAATGATTCTAGTTCTAGGTCTTGTGTTAGTTCTAGTATCAGATTAGCAGTATCACTAAAACTAACATAAGATGTAGAACTAGAATCATTTAGATTTAGCCGTCTTGAGAGACGTGCTGCTAAACCCAAATGAGTCTACTTCTAGGTCTAGTATTAGTTTTAGTTTTACACTAGCATTATCACTAGAACTAACACAAGACCTAGAACTAGAATCATTCGGGTTTAGCCGTCTTGAGAGACGTGCGGCTAAACCCGAATGATTCTAGTTCTAGGTCTTGTGTTAGTTCTAGTATCGGATTAACAGTATCACTAAAACTAACATAGGATGTAGAACTAGAATCATTTAGATTTAGCCGTCTTGAAAGACGTGCTACTACACCCAAACGAGTCTACTTCTAGGTCTAGTATTAATTTTAGTTTTACACTAGCATTATCACCAGAACTAACACAAGACCTAGAACTAGAATCATTCGGGTTTTGCCGTCTTGAGAGACGTGCGGCTAAACCCAAATGATTCTAGTTCTAGATCTAGTGTTAGTTCTAGTGATAGTGGTAGTGTAAAACTAAAATTAACACTAAACCTAGAACTAGACTCATTTGGGTTTAGCCGTCTTTAGAGACGTGCGGCTAAACCCAAATGATTCTAGTTCTAGGTCTTGTGTTAGTTCTAGTGATAGTGCTAGTGTAAAACTAGAACTAACACTAGACCTAGAACTAGAAACATTCGGATTTAGCCGCACGTCTCTCAAGACGGCTAAACCCAAATGATTCTAGTTCTAGGTCTTGTGTTAGTTCTAGTATCGGATTAGCAGTATCACTAAAACTAACATAAGATGTAGAACTAGAATCCTTTAGATTTAGCCGTCTTGAGAGACGTGCTGCTAAACCCAAATTGTCTATTTCTAGATCTAGTATTAGTTTTAGTTTCACACTAGCATTATCACTAGAACTAACACAAGACCTAGAACCAGAATCATTCGGGTTTAGCCGTCTTGAGAGACGTGCGGCTAAACCCAAATGATTCTAGTTCTAGGTCTTGCGTTAGTTCTAGTATCGGATTAGCAGTATCACTAAAACTAACATAGGATGTAGAACTAGAATCCTTTAGATTTAGCCGTCTTGAAAGACGTGCTGCTAAACCCAAATGAGTCTACTTCTAGGTCTAGTATTAGTTTTAGTTTTACACTAGCATTATCACTAAAACTAACATAGGATATAGAACTAGAATCATTTAGATTTAGCCGTCTTGAGAGATGTGCTGCTAAACCCAAATGAGTCTACTTCTAGGTCTAGTATTAGTTTTAGTTTTACACTAGCATTATCACTAGAACTAACACTAGATCTAGAACTAGAATCATTTGGGTTTAGCCGCACGTCTCTCAAGACGGATAAACCCCAATGATTCTAGGTCTTGTGTTAGTTCTAGTATTGGATTAGCAGTATCACTAAAACTAACATAAGATCTAGAATTAGAATCATTCGGGTTTAGCCATCTTGAGAGGCGAACGGCTAAACCCAAATGATTCTAGTTCTAGATCTAGTGTTAGTTCTAGTGATAGTGGTAGTGTAAAACTAAAACTAACACTAGACCTAGAACTAGACTCATTTGGGTTTAGCCGTCTTTAGAGACGTGCGGCTAAACCCAAATGATTCTAGTTCTAGGTCTTGTGTTAGTTCTAGTATCGGATTAGCAGTATCACTAAAACTAACATAGGATGTAGAACTAGAATCATTTAGATTTAGCCGTCTTGAGAGACGTGCTGCTAAACCCAAATGAGTCTACTTCTAGGTCTAGTATTAGTTTTAGTTTTACACTAGCATTATCACTAAAACTAACATAGGATATAGAACTAGAATCATTTAGATTTAGCCGTCTTGAGAGATGTGCTGCTAAACCCAAATGAGTCTACTTCTAGGTCTAGTATTAGTTTTAGTTTTACACTAGCATTATCACTAGAACTAACACTAGATCTAGAACTAGAATCATTTGGGTTTAGCCGCACGTCTCTCAAGACGGATAAACCCGAATGATTCTAGGTCTTGTGTTAGTTCTAGTATTGGATTAGCAGTATCACTAGAACTAACATAAGATCTAGAATTAGAATCATTCGGGTTTAGCCATCTTGAGAGACGTGCGACTAAATTATGTTATGGCGCCTCGAACGAGGTCGGTTGCAGTTGAGATTGAGTGATTAAGATTATATGAAACTGAAATTGCTCTCCATATTGTAACGACTCGGCCGCGAGTGGTTTCTGCTTTATAATTGCTATAATGCTTTCTAATATAATTGCGGCCGAAGCTCAATGATCAATATCACATCAATCAGAAATATTCATGGCACTGAAAATCCTGTGTGGTTGATGTGTTAGTAGTTAGTGATTTTTAATTGTAATTGTTTCTTATGTTTAGAAACAGACACATTGACACTGAGCTCAAAGTTCAATTTCGTAAATGGAATAACGCATTAATTGCAATAAATTCTATCGGAAATACCACAGTAACCACCACGTGGGGAGATTACAACGAAACTACTGGTCTTTTTTCCGGTATGATTGGCGATTTGCAAAGTGGTCGATCAGATATCGGTGGTAGCTCAGCTTTCATTCTATGGAATAGAATCGGAGTGGTCGATTACGTTTCAGCTGCTTCTTCGCACTCAACTTGTTTCATTTACAGAGCGCCCTCTTTATCGGTTGTCTCAAACGTTTTTATATTACCATTCCGACATTCAGTTTGGGCCGCAAGCTGCGGGTTAATACTAATGATATGTGTAACGATGTACGTAATCATCAAGTGGGAATATAAAGATGAAGAATTTTTAGAAAGTTTACAACCAACATCGAATATTTTGCTACCATATTTTTCGGACGTGTCAGTTTTAACTTTCGGTGGAGTTTGTCAACAAGGAACCGAAGCAGAACCAAGGAGCGTTTCGGGACGTCTTACAATGTTAATCTCTTTTATTGCTCTAATGTTTTTATACACGGCATATTCGGGTACTATTGTGGCAATGCTCCAATCAAGCAGTGAAACTGTTAATTCAATCGAAGCCTTTTTGTATTCAAAAATTGAATTGGGCGTTGAAAATGTTACATATATGCCTACATTTTTTCGGGTAAAAAATTGTTAATTTAAAAATTAAATTAATTTAAAATTGGATTACTTTTAGAATCTCACCGAACCAATTAGAAAAGCTATTTACGAAAAGAAAATTGCTCCTCAAGGAAAATTTAAACATCTAATGGACGCTGAAGCTGGAATTAAAAAAGTACGAGAAGAATTTTTTGCTTTTCACATGGAACCATCAGCAGCTTACACCATTATTCGACGAACGTTTCAAGAAAATGAAAAATGTTCATTGCGGGAACTATATGTTTGGACGATTAGTTTACCATATTTAACGGCTGCAAGAAATTCGTCTTACAGGGAATTAATTAAAATTGGGTAATTAGAAACGATTTAACGAACATTTTGATGGTAACAAAATTGTTTATAGCTTAAGAAAAGTGGAAGAAACAGGTATTCATGATCGCGAATATAAAATATTGTATTTGAAGAAACCGGAGTGTCAAGGAGGAGGAAGTACTTTCGCCAATGTTGGTCTCACAGAATGTTATTTCGCATTTTATATCTTTGCAATTGGTTGTGTTATTTGTTTAGTTTTATTAGGATTTGAGTTGATTATTTTTAAAAAACAAACATTTGTATAATAAGTATATTAATGGTTTTGGCACTTTATGTATCACGAAAGTTGAGAATAAATGTTCACTTTACAACGCTTTCTGTAATTCATTATGAAACTTCAAATATTGTTTTCTCAAAAACTAAAAGTTATTTGTCAAAACGGGTTGGTTCATTGGAAAGAGGACACTTTTATTAACACTTTTGGAGATTTTCATACTCATATTCCAAGAAATTGATTTTATACGAATTTTTAAAACTTAATCGGCAAAAATTGCAAAATTAGAAAAAAATTTTGATCATTTCAAAAATTTTTTTCTCAAGAACTGAAAGTGATTTTTCAAAACGGCTTTTTGCATTAAAAAGAGGATACTTTAATTAATAATTTGTGATATTTCCACAAGGGTAATTCAAGAAATTAATTTTATAGTGAATTTTGAAAATTATCGATGAAAATTGCCACATCGAAAATTTTATCAAAACTTCAAATATTGTTTTCTCAAAAACCAAAAGTTATTTTTCAAAATGGGTTGGTTCATTGGAAAGAGGATACTTTTATTAACACTTTGGGAAATTTTCATACTCACATTCCAAGAAGTGGATTTTATACGAATTTTTAAAACTTAATCGGCGAAAATTGCAAAATTCGAAAAAATTGTCGATCATTTCAAAAATTTATTTCTCAAAAACTAAAAGCGATTTTTCAAAACGGCTTGTTGCATTAAAAAGAGGATACTTTAATTAATAATTGGTGATATTTCCACAA